ATACAGTTCAACTTCATGACCTATGTCCATCTCCCTAATTGTATATTAAATATTTTTTTCTAATAATTATTATTCCATATTCCCACTAGGTAATAATTAGGCTTTCTACCTCTATTGTAATTAAACGTAATACTATCCCTTCTTGACTAGTATTTCGAATTCTTAAAATATATATATACACACACACAGATATATATATATATATATATATATATATATATATATATATATACCCACTTATAGTTGCCATAAAAATAATTTCCTTAATTTAAATTAATTCTACTCTAAACATAAATTTAATTCGAATTTCAAGTATGCTTCACATTCTTAATTATAATTTATAGAAGTTCCTAGTTAGGTGGGATGTTACACTCTCCCCACCAAATTTGAAGTTTGTCCCCAAACTTCGTCCTACCATTCCGCTAACTATTCAAGGCGAATGCCAAACACACATGCATTTACGCAAGACTTTACATCACATACCACCAGGCAGTTATCAAAATCATTAATTAACTCAGGATATTATAAATAAGTCGTACTTTACAAGTTCATTAGAGAATATATAATAAACCATACTCGTACGGAAGGAAATAAAAACTTTCCTAAGCTTAATCGTATCAAAAATTTCTGGTTTCTATTCAAGCAACGTTAGGGACTATACGACAACAAAGGCGAATTAAAACCGACCAAGAAATCCAATACATAATCTTAATCAATGCAGACTCTAGTCATCCCTAAATCATAATGAGGTTTTAGGGTTTTATAACAGAATTAATTAACAACTAACAACTCCATTCGTACAATATTTCTTCACTATATACTTTTATACTTGATGATAGACAGAACCCAACAATCACACTGGAACAAAGATTAGGTGAAACCACATATAATTTTACTAGGCAAGAATTCCTAACTATTCATTACTTTATTACTTATGTTCTTCATTTATTTATGTGGGTCAATATCACTAACGTGCCATACTCTTACTAATCCACCTGCTATACTTATTCTACTGAAAGTGTATGTACTTACCTACCAAGTGCTCCTAAAAATTTTCATGCTTGATAGGTTGAGGGTCAAGCTTGGGACGACTGTATTATGTGGTACTTGATGATTTTTGGATGACTGTAAAACTATGATTTATTTCTGCTTTAAGTCTTCTACGAACAGCGGCTATTTTAAGAAAATCTGAAAATGTTTTGCGAAATGGAATTTTTTTTTTCTAAATGCTGAATTTTTAACAGTTTACGGTCAACTTATGAGTTACGTTTCAAGGGGCAAATGACCTCTGATTTACTATTATTTTATATGCACGCGAAGCCCCAAGCGTCTACATTCAGATTTCGTTAACTGTACAAAAATATTTTGAAAAATCGATTTTATATCCGTAATTAATTTGATTTTGATTGTGTTAGTAATTATAGGAATTAATTGTAAATAGAATTGATTGATAGGAGACATCAATCCTCTGATTTTAACTTTATTTTTTAGAGTGATTTGTGGCTTGATTGAAGCCCGAAATTAGTGGCTTGATTGAAGCCCAAAATTAGTATATATATTACCTATGTACAATGGAAGAAATATAGATTCCATTGTTTAATATCTACTTTTAAAGTCATAAATAATGTAACATATATAGTCTCCCCATCATACTTCCTTCATTTAAAAAAAAAACTTTTATCTCATATTTTGCCAATTTAAAAAAATAAAAATATATTATGTTTTCTTTATTCTTGTCTTTTTTTTTTGTTTTTGTTTTTGTTTTTTTTTTGTTTTTTTTTGTAATAACTTTTTTTTTGTCTTTTACAAATGTATTACTAAAATAAAAAAGAGTATTAATAGATTGATGTGATAAATATTGAATCAAATATAATTATATTATAAAATTAATAATACTTAATAATCTTTTTAATTTTTATGTCAATTTTTAAGCGAATGGTATTTTAAAACATCACTAAGACAACATAAACAGCTACATGTATGTTATTATAATAAAAAAACAGCTACATGTATGCATGTATTTGAAATTAAGTGACTTTATTTAAGTTATTCTTAAGAAATCATAAACAAGTTGAAGCAGGTTAAAGTCATTTTTTATTTTTATTTTTTCTGCTCTTATTGGTTGGCGTACACTAGTTCAAGTCCGAGAGCTCCATCTAAACCTTGACTAGCATGCAAATTGATAGATGCGAATTTTTCTCTTTAAAATTATTGGGAGAAAACAAAAGAAGTTGTCAAGAATTTTAAAGATAAATTTATTGGAATTATTATCTAAGAGACATGTCAAATGAAAGAGGTGTCTTACAATGAAAGAATCTAATATTAAATCGCAACCATTCATTTATAAGAAATGAATATAGTGATAAATAAATATGAATCTAAATTTTTGAAAAACATACATTTAAAGAGAAAGAACTTGAACACTTAAAATGAAAATTAATTTCATATCAATTTTTTTTAATATGTGATGCCGAAAAAAATAGAAAGGGTGGTTAAAGATAACATTGAAATTTGATAAAAAAAAGTCTTTATTTTTAATTATATTTATCAAAATAACAAAGTATTTAATTTCTGCAATACCGGTTTTAAATACCTTAATATAAATCAATTCAAAATTTAAAATACTAAAAATAAAGAAATTTTTTAAAAATAAATATTAGTTATAACGATAATTATCTTCTAAAAATAATTTTTTTTTAAAGATTAAAAATCATTAATTACAATTGAATCATTTAAAATACATCTTAAATGTTAAATCACATCAAATTTGTTGCTTTTCTTTTTTATCAAACAGATTATAATCAAATATATTTTTTCATTTGGACTTGAATTTGACTCTAATATATTAAACTTTAAATTGTTATTTCTGTGAACTTGCAAACCATATTTAAGGAGTCATAATTACGTTTGACTTCATACTTCTTAAATTATTCCATTAATTAGTTGGGGCGTGAATAATGAGTCAACTGCAAATGTATTAATATAAGATACTTTTAAGAAAACAAAAATTCTTTAATCCGATTTCAAAAGATCAGAAGATACTTTTGTAATTAGTTAAATTACTTACACAATTTTAGACTAGAATGGTAATTAGATAATACCCATCAAGATAGATCTTCTTAACGAAAAATTATTCATTCGAGGCATTTTGTTCTTATACTGATGTTTTTTTAAGAAATCTCACCTTCATTATATTCTTAGTTATTAATTTACTTTTATGCGACTAAAAAATCAAAATCATTACATAAAAATGTAATCATTAGTACCACAAAGCATGTGGATCAACGAGTACCAGATTATTCCAGTTTAATTGACAAAAAAATGGAGAAATTTTAAAAAATATGAAAGCATTAGTTAAGATTAGAGTATGAGTTACTTGTAATACTATTCAAAGACTAGATAATATTTACCAAAAAAAGAACAAGGATAATAACTTTATAATTTTGTTTTTAACCATCCATCCAAAATCCAAGAAAATTCCTCATTTTATTCTCACGAAGCCGATCTTCGCTCGATATATGTTCCTTGATATCTAACATAAAATGTTAGCAATTTGCGAGAACGGGACCATTCCCTTTCCCATTCTCCTATCCCTTATTTAGTAGACAAGATTTTTTTTTTTTACTAGAAAAATATAATTATTAAGAATACGGTAGACAAGTGAATTTGCTATGAAAATTTGAAAAAGTTATTTAGTAGATCAAAATATTATCAAAAAATTTAATGGTAATTTGCTAAGTCTATATTTAGTTGAAGGTAAAATATAAATCGAAAAATATGATTAAATTACCACAACAACTTTTGAGTAAAATAAAATGAAAAAAATATGATTTTAGTTTGTTAATTTTTTTTTTCAACATCAGGTCATTTTGGTCTTCTTGCTTGCAGTCTATTTGGATTTTCCCAGCTAGCTATCAGCAAATACCACCTTATAGGGTTTTATTCAACAATTTTTTTTACCCACAAAAAATAAATACTAGGCAAATAATTTTTGTAGCAAAATTTTTTAAAACCTTTTATACCAAACATGAACATATAAAAATACCACTTCTATTACCCAAATCCTTTGGCACAGTTGGGCCGGAGGCTGTGTTCCCTTAATCAGTGGTCTCGAGTTCGAGCTCTGGGTATAGAAAAAAAGGATTGGGTAGAGCCGCCCCCGCAAGAGTCCTACAGTGCTTGATTTGGGATTAGTCTCACCCCGAAGGGGGTGAGGATACCTTTCGGTTTACTAAAAAAAATACCACTTTCATTTATCTAGATATCTTCAACAAAACTTATACCAAACATACCTACAGTGAAACTTATTTTTTATTTTTTCTTCTCCCGACACAAAAAAAATAAAATGAATCCATCAAATGACTGAAGAATTTTCTTTTCGGGTTCTCTTTTTTGCAATCTGACTTGTTTTTATTTTACATCTCATGTGCTATCTATAAGACAGCATATAAACTGCAAAAGGCTAAGAGAATCTTTAGAAGCCCTTCTGGGTTTTCCCTTTTTCTCTCTACTTTTTTCATTCTTTATCTGCGATGCTCTTGGTCCTTTCCCTCTCATCAAAATTTGCTTTTCATTCTCCTCTCCCTCTCTCTCTCTCTGTCTCTCACTCACGCATTGTCCAGAGAAAAAAACCAAAAAGAAAAAAGAAAAACAATAAAAAGAGAATCGAAAGGAAAAGGAGGTTTTTTCTGTCTTTGTAATAGCAGAAAAGACTTATAAAAGCTTCACAAAAGGCCTCACCTATTATTTTCCTTGTCTGCCATCAAAATGCCATAAACTAAACCCTTCTCTCTCTCTCTCTGATGAACTCTTCAATTGTTATATTTCCCATCAACGCCAATGCCTCTTAACTTTTAGTCCTCAAACTTGTTCCTTTTCACAACTCTTTCACTCTTCAAGTTAATACAAAGTCTCATTAACCATAAACTCACTTGGTTTTCTCGCTACACACAACATTCCATCATCCATTCTTTTGTTTTCGCCTAGGAAACAAGAAAAAAAAAATGATAAGTGTCCTAGACTTGTACCATGTTCTCACAGCCGTTGTGCCTCTCTACGTGGCCATGATCCTCGCATATGGGTCAGTGAAATGGTGGAAAATCTTCAGCCCTGATCAGTGTTCCGGGATCAACCGTTTCGTTGCTCTATTCGCTGTTCCACTTCTCTCCTTTCACTTCATATCCACAAACAACCCTTATGCCATGAACTACAAGTTCATAGCTGCAGACTCTCTTCAGAAAGCAATAGTCTTGATAGTGTTAGTTATATGGTCAAGGACAAGCTCAAGAGGGTCCCTTGAATGGTCCATAACCCTCTTTTCACTCTCCACACTCCCTAACACCTTGGTCATGGGAATCCCATTGCTTAAGGGCATGTATGGAGACAACTCTGGCACACTCATGGTTCAAATCGTGGTCCTTCAATGCATCATTTGGTACACTTTGATGTTGTTTTTGTTTGAGTATAGGGGTGCGAGGATTCTCATTGGGGAACAGTTCCCGGACACTGCAGGGTCCATTATTTCGTTCAAGGTTGACTCTGATATCATCTCTTTGGATGGGAAAGAGCCTCTTCAGACTGAAGCTGAGGTTGGTGAAGATGGGAAGCTTCATGTTACTGTGAGAAAGTCCACAAGCTCACGCTCTGAGATTTTCTCTCGGCGTTCTCATGGTCCAAACTCTGGGGTTTCACTTACCCCACGTCCTTCCAACTTGACCAATGCTGAGATTTATTCCCTTCAGTCTTCGAGGAACCCTACCCCAAGAGGGTCAAGCTTCAACCACACTGATTTTTATTCCATGGTGAATGGGAGGAACGTGAGTCCGCGGCAGTCAAACTTTGGAAGCTTGGGTTTTGATGAGGAGGGTGGAGTTGGTAGAGCCAGTGGTGGTGGTGGTGCAGGGTACCCGGCACCTCCCAATGCCGGAATCTTTTCTCCGGTGACTGGTCCCGGTACTAAGAAGAAGGCTAATGGAGGTGCTGATGGTGGAAAGGATCTTCATATGTTTGTTTGGAGTTCAAGTGCTTCTCCTGTCTCTGAAGGTGGAATCCATGTCTTCAGAGGTGGAGATTATGGAAATGATCAGCTTGGTGGGGTAGCTCACCAAAAAGGTTAAGAAAGACTGTCCTTATTTGACTTTTTACTTTTGGACAAGTGGTTTGGTTTGTTGTTGGTTGTTGATTGTTCAAATTGTGTGGACTTCTTGTTCAAATGTGATGTATTTGTATTTATTTATGAATTTTTTATTTACAAACTCTTACAAATTACATTATTTATTTTGAATGGTATACACTACTTGAGCATGTATTATCACCCATAAGAGTTTATAAACAAAGAGCGCGTGAAAATAACCAATACTTTGTGTCGTGTTTAACATGTTTTTTTATATGCTATTGTTGCAAGTGTATGCATGCTTTTTTTTTTTTGTCTTTTCTAAATGGTTGTCGGTGGTTAGAGTGGGATTTGTTGTTGGACTTTGTTTGTATTGTCTTTTCACATTCACATATTTTGTTAGTGTGGGCTCTGATGTTCGCTCTGTTTAACTTTTCATTCAATAGGGTCAGTAGTTTCTTTAGGTTATGCCATTTTCTTGTGTGCTCATTGGGTGTGTTAATTTCCATTATGTTGGTCAGATTATGATGAATTTGGTCACGATGAGTTTAGCTTCGGAAACAGAACCGTTGCTAATGGGGTGGACAAGGAAGGGCCAGTGCTTTCCAAGCTTGGTTCAAGCTCCACAACTGAGCTACACCCAAAAGCTGGAACTCAAGGTGAATCTAGACCCACATCCATGCCACCCACCAGTGTTATGACTAGACTCATTTTGATAATGGTGTGGCGAAAGCTTATTAGGAATCCCAACACTTACTCTAGCCTTATTGGTCTCACGTGGTCTTTGATCTCATTCAAGTATGCAAACATTCAACTTATTTTTTGTTAGATTCTCAATACTTTTAGTTTTTCAAAGTTTTAACTTTTTCATGTTATGCTGTAGGTGGAATGTTGTTATGCCTGCAATTGTTGCTCGATCAATATCAATTTTATCTGATGCAGGACTTGGGATGGCAATGTTTAGCCTTGGTAAATTTTTGTTACGAAAGTTTTTATTTGCCTTTGTTGTGTCCTCTATAGTTGTAACATTCTGGTTTTTGAGGACTTGTACTTTCTTATACTGTCACCAGTGTTTTAACTGATTAGAGATTTGAAAACTTTGGTGGAATGCAGGGTTATTCATGGCGTTGCAGCCAAGGATTATTGCATGTGGAAACTCAGTTGCTTCATTTGCTATGGCTGTTCGTTTTCTAACTGGCCCTGCAGTCATGGCTGTTGCTTCAATCGTTGTAGGACTCAGGGGAGTTCTGTTGCATATTGCCATTGTACAGGTAAAAGAAGGTTTTGAAACATTCTTTTTTTTTTTCTTCTTGTATTGTTGCTCTTCAGTTTGTGATTTTATAATTTCAATGCATGTGTGTTTGTACTGTTGTGTATTTTCAGGCTGCTCTTCCCCAAGGGATTGTCCCCTTTGTGTTTGCTAAGGAATACAATGTTCATCCTGACATACTTAGCACTGGGTTTGAACTTTGAACTCTCAATTCATATATTCTTCTTTTCCTTCACATAGTGTATAACCAATTATAATTAGTCTTTATTTTTGGTTGTTTATTTTTGTTGCAGGGTTATATTTGGGATGCTAATTGCGCTTCCTATTACGCTAGTTTACTACATTTTGTTGGGGCTTTGAAGCAATATCGATGACGTGAAAGTAACCTACTTTAAGAAGAAGACTAATTGCAGTGGATTATATCACCCTGACTTTTTGTAATATTATAGTGTAATTTTTATTTTATTTTTTGGTATCCTCTAACAAGTTAGAATTTCGGAAGTTGGTAAGAGAGGGGAGTGAAGTTGTTTTCTCCTAACACAATGGCTAGAGCTATATAGATGCTATTAGGAAACTTGTGTTTTGGCCTTTTTTTTTTTTTTTTACTGTGAACCCCAACTCTATTATATTTTGCTTCTTTTAATGAAAAAGAGAAGGTGAAGCTTGTTTGTAGTTGTCGACACCTTTCTCTATCTTTTCACTAATCTCAATGCCAATGCAAGTAAAAAACAAGTGGGAAACCAAACAGGAACTTTTGCGGGGTTGTCTCTTTGGTGCTTATTTATTTTTTATTTTTTTATTTTTATCATAGCATTTACAGCTTTCGAAGCTGTTCACCACGAATTTTAACTTTTGAATTTATTTTGGAGTATTGTTGGGAATTGAAGCTAGCGCAGTGCTACGGCTGAGGTTGCTGTTATGGTCCTGCCTCTAGCCACAACTTGTGTGCATATAGCCACAACTGCTGAACCATTTGGTACTGTGTGGACATGGGAACTTATTGCACTGGCGTTTAGTGAGCCTCATTAAATATTCAAAGATGTGTTGTTTTTGCCTTATTGGGGGACACTTTGAAAATACTTGCAAGGGGGACAAAGCTGTCTAACTAGTTAGTGTCTTGTTTGCACTTTCTCTGTTCATGGGTTTTACTATTTTGGTTTCATTTTAATAAATTCTAATCTGTTATAAAATAGACAAATATAATATTGTATTTAGACTGATTCAAAATTTATCTAGTGTGGTTGATTGTAAATACTTTCACGTTGCGCTGTAGTTTCTACACACGACAACGCCTTAGCACGCGCAATTGAAAAATTGTTTCTCTATGAAGTGGAAGTATTAATATTATGAGGGTTTTTTTTTTAAGTCGACAAAGTAATCACCTTTTTGACATTTTCTTTTTATTAGTATCATGTTACATAACTCAATAAAACTTTTCTACACACAATTAAGAGGTGAGATTCACATGTTTTTTTTTCTTACATCATTTCATTTTCTCTCTTTTTTTTATTGTGAGGGTAGAAAATTTTTCTTATATCCTACAACATTATACTCATAAAACCCTTTCTTAGATCATAAGCTGACATCGAAATTAGCTGCAAGCATAACTTAATTTAGTGTTTGGGTGTGCGAATTAAGATACAAGCATGTTATGCTTCTGGTTTAGAGAGTATTAAAGTTATTCATTTTGACAAGTGATTTTTTTATATAAAATCAAAAATTTAACCCCTGGGGTAGCTCAACCAGCAAAGTTGAGCGTCCAGATTGCTTGGTCCAGGGTTCGATCTTTGACCCAAGTAATTTTGGAATCTTTTGGGAGCAGAGGAAAAAGGTTCTTCTTTGATGGAGGATTAGTTTCATCTTTTTTATAGTGTCAGTGATTCAATGCACTAGCTGTTCTAATGATGAGGTAGCATTTGAGCAGCAATACTCTGTGGACAAAGTGACCGGAAAAGGTTGAACGAGGATACTTCTAAATTTCTAATAAAAAAAATCAAAAGTTTAAATAACAGGTTGTTTAATCGGTAGGTTCTAAGTTTGCTTATCACTTAAATTAACTTTTAATTCAGTTATTTATAACTACAGTTACTTATGCGGGTAAATTTGAGAATTTGTTTATGGGAATAATGTTTCTTCGGGAGATAAAAAATTAAAAATATCTTCATCTTGCAGAAATAACATTTGGTACTTCAAAAGTTTAAAAAGAAGGAAGCATGCTCCATTCTGAAGTCAGTATTAAAAAGTGTTAAGCTTGCAGCGTAAATTGCAAATAGCAAGGTCAATATAGTTATTGCTTATATTTTTTAATTCCGAAATATTAACATTGTAAGTAGTCTTTTTTTTTTTTTTTTTGATAACAACATTGTAAGTAGTCTTTTGGTACATATATATTGCGATTGTGTTTATAAATGTAGTTGTTATGTTAATAATGGCAAGTTTTTCCTCCCTATAATAATGTGTTTTGTGAGTATATGTGTTTATAGCAATATTTTAAAAGTCAAATCAGAAATTAAAACAGTGAAACCTTTATATCATAATTCCATTAATTAAGCAAGTTAAATTCATGATTCAATTAAATAATATAACGAGGGATAACTAAATAGGAGAAACAAAAATTTTTCATTTATTTAGTTAAACTGAACGGTTCAGACTAAATTTGAAACATTATTTTATGAATTTTATTAATCTCATGTTGAAGGAAATAAGTTGTCTCATGTCATAGAAATAAATTTGTGGGCTCCACCACCTGAAAAAATAAAATAAAAAATAAAAAAGTGGCACAATTATGAAAAGATGTGTAAAAAAAAAAAACTTATCTCATATAGAATGAAAATAGTTTTTCTCTTATTTTATATAAATAATTAATGAAATAAGCTTTACATAATACCCTTGAATCCTATTTCAACGGTTCAGATTTTAAATTAAATTTTATCATATGATATTATAAAATTAATTTAATAATATGTATTAATATTCCGTACGCGTGACACTTATCATGCTTTTAATTAATTAATGCACTACTCTCCAGGTACATAGCATTTAAAAAAAGATTGACATTAACAAAAAAAAAATTTATATAGACTTTTTATCTTGGGTTTAATTTTTCTTTTATCTCCTGAACATATATAAAAATATGTGAGGTTTATATTTTTTTCTCTCTCTTTTTTTACATGAACCCATATGATAAAATCCTCACATATTTTTATGTAAGTATAAGAAATAAAATTATGAGTAAAGTCCCTTTTGGATCCCTAATAAAAAACACGATCTCCACTTTCGTCCTTCACACAACAAAAAATCAACTTTTGGTCACTCTAGTTCTTTAAAAATGTCATCCTTCAAAAATTCAATAAAAATTCAATTTAATTCCTAAAAAAGAACTAATATGAATATATTTTTTATAAAAGACAAAAGTGGGGACAACGTCTTTTGTTAGGAATTCAAAAAGAACTTTAGTCTAAAATTATTTCTTTAATCCCATAAAATTTACTTTTTTTTGTTATTTCAAGTTTTTAATGCTTGAGTGTTACGATGATATCCGAAGATTGATCATCATCCATCATATTACATACCCTCCTTTTTAATCAAGTGCTTACATCTTTATTATATATGTATCCTAATAATTTAAAGCTTTAAAGATGAACGGTGACTTGCATATATTTAATATTGGGGTTTACATGAAGAAACCTTATAAAATCCAATATTAAGTATGGATGTAATAGAAAAAGTTTTAGAGAAAGAAGAGTAGAAAAAATTGGATAGTCATGCAAAATGTTTTGAAAATTAGCCCGGACTGGTCGAATAATGAATTAATTATATATATTTTTAAATATTATTTGATTTAATTATAATGTAAATATAGTTAATCTACAAAATTAACAAATTAAATTAATCTAAACATGGTTTAAAAGTATGGTTTGATCAATCTCATTTTTTTGAACATTAGTTATGCATATATATATATATATATATATATATATATATATATATATATATAAGTCTATGAATTTGGGATAAACTATTTCTGTATAATATCAATGTTGTTTAATATCTTAATCAACCTACAACCATAAACTCTCTGTAGATTTCTGCTATCGCCTATCCTTGTTCTTGAGTAATAATACCTACATCTCACTAAAGCCACTTTATAATGATGTTGCATCATTTCAGTCATTCTAAAAGGCCGCATTTTCTGTTAAAGCAAAGCTGAATTTATGAACAACAAGAATCGAGAACAAATTAATATGTGACATAGTGAGAGAACGGCAATATTCAATTGTGTAATTCCACTACAGACCCCATCTATTTAGTCAATGATAGCTAAAAGTGATTAACTAAAAAAAGTACTTTTTATGTGTATGACACCAATCTCAATCAAGGCAGTGAAGTATTGTCTGTCGTGCTGGTTTATAAAAGGACCTTTAACTTTTTTGTCATGTCTTTTGATTAGCTCAAGTGAGAAAAGCACAATAAACTATCAAAAGTATGTGAATATAATGATGAATCAAAGTTTTCATTTCCCACATATTTTTAGTGTATGTTTCAAAGAATGTGCAGCACATGCGTGTGCCACTTGAGTCAGTATTCAGGCTTAGGCACTGTTGCTTTGGCCTTTTTTCTGTTCAAATCTTTTGTTTATAATGAACTTACTTTGTTGAGTGATAGGTGGAGCTTATGGATTGGCATGTTTTATGAAACACAACTAGTCATTAATCCCTTCTAGTGATTAGAAAATGTTTAGTACGAGCTGTAAAGTCAAAGAGGAAAGTAGTATAATGTGAAGAGCGTGAAGAGAAACATATAAGGAAAAAGGTGAGGTGTTTATGAAAAGATTATATACAAGTACATAACATACCAGTGGAAAGAAGATGCATGTTTCGGTTTTAAAATAATTAATAATGAAAGTAAACGATGATGAGGCAGGCACTAATGTTAATGTTGCTATCAAAGTGTAAGTAATTGGTTTATAGCTTAAGTGGGTTTGATTACTGTTTTCGAGATTAGATCTCTAATTCACAATATTGACAAAAGAGAGAATGGATTATGATTTATGAACAATAGTTAAACCAATTGATAAAAGAACACCAATTCTTTTATTAAAGTGTGAATAATTGGTTTATAGCTTAAGTGGGTTTGGTTATTGTAAGAGATTAGATCTCAAGTTCACAATATTGACAAAAGAGAGATGGATTATGATTTATGAACAATAATGAAATGCAAAGATCATTGGTCAGAATGAAAATCAAATGATAAAGAACACCAATTGGACACTGTGTCAAATTATTTCTCTGCAACAGGGGAAAAAAGTGAAAAAACAGACACGCCGTTGAATCTTGGGGATTTGATACACAAATGTACCTAACTCTATGGACACTCCCCAAGATTCAATATGACATTAATTAGATCTGAAAAATATTTTGTACACAAATGTACCAAACTCTATGTCCACTCAAGATTCAATGTTAAATTAATTAGATCTGAATTTTTTTTAGGGAGGTTGAAGTTTGCTTAATTTTATCTATGATACATAATATATTTTTTTGTTGGTAAACAATGATACATAATATTTAAAAATTATAATTGTTTAATAAATTAATTATAAGACTCTCTCCAATGTTGTACAGAGACAGAAAGAGGGGACTTATGAGGAACTAATGTAATTTTACAAAATGTTTTTTAAAATATTTTCTCAATAAACAAGCATCTTAACATGAATGTTCACCGGATTTGGTTCTGTGGCTGATTTGTTGTTAGTTTATGTTTGCTTTGGGTTCTCTCTTTTTTCTCCCTCACTATCAAAAGAATATTGAATGTTTGTTTTTCTAGGAAAAAAAATGTTCCACTTTTAGAAAGATGAAACCATTTTTCTTATTTGAGATGAGAAGATTAATCCAGTTTGTTTAACTCACTTGTTTCTCCCTTTTAAGGTTATATCAATATTTGAAAGAAAATAAAAAAGAATATTTGCACTTTAATTCAGGGGATATGAGTGTTTTCATTTTCTTTCTGTAATTAGTTTTTGGCTTTAATATTTTTAAAGTGAATTTAGATAAGTTATTTATATTCGCTCCCAAAACGACATCGTTTTGAGTTGAAAAATTAAAAAATTATTATAACCCTGAAATAAATTAATTACAAAAATACATTGAAATAAATTAAAGTCACTGTAGATAAATTATCTACATTGACGATAGAAAAATCAAACCCTTAGTTTTTTGTGTGGTATATATTACTCAAACTAAAAAACCTAAACTATCTCTGTCTTATTTTTTTCCAAGAGGAAAAGGAAGTGGATGCATTGTGAATTTTGAACATGTACATTTATCTTATATTTCTATCCATTAAACTGTCTCAAGGAAACTCACTACTACTTATTTTTATCTTGTAATTTAAGCTCTTTGATATACGCTTAATTCGCAAACGTGACATAGGAGCACGGGTTCGAAAACGGATTAGGAATGCACTTGCAAGCCCACTTGCTAATATGGAATATGGACCTAAATCTGCACCGCAATCATCTATTGCCAGTGGTGGATTCTTAAAAATGCTAGAATTAGTAGGGCTTTTGTTTTTAATTTTTCGTGCATGCTGTTCAAAATATTCTTAGCCCTAATTACTAGAATATACATTATTTTTTAAGGTGTTCTCTCTTTTATTTTCCCCTTTAAACAAACACTTCATGTATATATGCTACGGGATAAATAACAATCATGTTACATGAAAAAAAATTCTATCATGCAACACTACTGACAAAACAAAATTATTGAATATAGTGTCTCTTCTAATTTCTTTATTATTATTTAACTTGTCGTTTTCTGTCGCAGGAAAACAAATTTCTTACTACGGCAGGACGAAACCAAAGTCCATATACTATATGCATCAATGAATTTAGTTGCATCAAAGATGATAACACTATTTTTGGTTATGATTATTTTTTCAAGTATAACATTTTTTTTTTTTTGAGTTATCCAATCCTAATTATTTTTTTGAAGCGAGTCGACTCTTCTCTCTTATCCCCACAAGTTTTGTCTCTTCAAGTTGACTATGAGACTAATCCAAATTGCGAGATGTGTCAGAAATAAAAATATTTAAGCCCCTTCCTAATAGTGATATATCAAGATTCTCAGAAATAAAAATATTTAAGCCTCTTCCAAATAGTGATATATCAAGATCCACATGTGGATTCAAACAAATTAAGAAATAAAGATATTTAAACTTCTTTCAAATAGTGATATATCAATATTCACATGTGGATTCAAGCAAATCATGACGGTTAAGTGTTGAAAAAAATTATTGGTTTGGAAATATCCTATAATAAGGACAATATACAGAAATTTAAAACTGACCCTCAAAAGTTAATTTAATGGTGGAAGTAAACAACAGTACTTTACTTTTGAGGGAGGGAAAATCCAAATAACATGTTTGCATAATTGAAATATCCTATAATAATGAGATTATACTGAATTCAAACAAATTGCTAAATATGTAAAATCATGTTGAAAAAATCTTTGAAAAGCGAAAATTTATCCACTTACAATGGAGATGCGGGGTATCGATCCCCGTACCTCTCGCATGCTAAGCGAGCGCTCTACCATCTGAGCTACATCCCCGCACGTTAAGATTCATAATTAATAAAATTAATATAGAGTATAATGTGGGTCATTTTTATTTTTTTTTTGGGCGAATAAGAAGGGTCTTTAGGCACTATAAACATGAAGTGAAAACCTGATTTGGGCATATTTAGAGGGCCTGGTGGTACCGAAGTTGTGTTCCTTGCTCTATATCCATTATCCACCAAAGGGTAATGAATCTAATTAAGCTTGAGACTCAAGTGGAGAATAATGGGCCGAAGTGTAAAGCTAATGGCGTCCAATGGTAAAGGAGCTTCATCTCTGCTAGGGTTATGGAGCTGCGGATATATATGGGAAATTGTTCCCGTATCTCATGATTTTGATTGATCTTTCATGCTCCTACATGGAAATGAGACCCTATAGTCAAAGTTGATTTCCTCAATCAGAAACGGGAAATTGGGAATATCCACCATTTTAACTCCCAAAAAAACCCCTCTACATTTATGCATTGTTATATATTTTAATTTCTTGATTTAGTTGCACTACTTGCATGCATCATGTATACTAAATTTTAGAGAAGCTAATAAAGATTTGATAAGTTGTTTAACTTCGAGGACTTGATTTCACATGTTGAATTCATGCAATTAATAGTCTTGAATACTAAAATTAAATTGGAAAGATATATTTCATGCATATAGAAATCACGTTTGGTAAAAATGAGAAGTAAATCTATCCTTCTTAAAAAAAGAGTATCATGATAAATTTATTTAGAGTTGTCAAAACGGGTTCAGTCCTATAACCTCAATTTTTAGCACAAATGTGATAGGTCATTTTTTACCCTAGCCCTAATGACTCTCATTCCTGTTGGGTTAGGGTGGGGTTAACCATGGGTCGGCCCACTTTTTTTTAACCCAAACCCTAAATTCCCAATTTCTTTCTCTTTTCATGGCTTTCTTCTTCACGCTCTTTCGATTTCTTCTTCTTCATAGTTGATAGCTCTTCTAATTTTTTCTTTCTTCTACTCGTTTTTTTTCTTCACATAGGTATGGTTTTGTTCTTCTTCTTCTTCTAATTTTGTTTTTTGTTTTTGTTTTTTAGTATCTAGTAAGTGGATTAGCAGAGCAAGAGTTGATCCATCAATTTCTTTCTCTTCATTTTCTTTTCCTCCATCAAGTTGATTAACAACGACTCTTCATTTTCTCTCCCATAAATGTAAATATTTTGGCCCTACAAGTTTTTTGGCCTTGGCTCACACAAGCTAATGCCTAATGAGTCGAGCTAACCCATTTTGATAGCTCTAAATGTAATTGTAAGGTATTCTCTAAAGTTAGTTTATTTTTAAAATGAATAACTAAAGAGTGTTTTTACTTTTAGTTTAATTTAAAATTTATCATAACATTGACCCTACACTAAAATTTATAAATGAATATTCATACTTATTTATATTATAAACTCATTATAAGAATTATGTCATACAGACACTTTGATTATTTGTGTTCATAAAGTGGACCCTGCATGTTGACACATGTAAACCAAAGAAATGGAATTAGAGGCAGACAAGTAAAATGATTACATCAATATAATCAACTGACAAATCTTATCCTCAAAATAATTAACATTCACACTACACTAATCATAAAAAATACATATTCATTTTTTTTTTAAAAAAAAAAAAAACAAAGAGAGAGAGAGAGAGAAAGAAATAGGCACCGAAAGGCAATAGCAAAGGCCAACCAAGGTTTTGATTTGAATTTCCACAAAGGCACAGTGGAATCCTTTGGGGTCAGTCAAAAAGCGCAATCATAAGCATCACTTCACGTTCACGACCACAAAGACTGAAACTGTACCACACTAACTCACACCCTTCTTATTACCATTACCCTACCCCCACACATATAGCTACACTTCATCAACAACAAACAGCATGTTGCAAATTGATATGGAAAACTCTGAACTCTTCCAATTCCTTTCCCGCACCAACGGGTCCTTTTTCCACAATACACCACACAGCTTTTGTAGTTCCTCTAACTATCACCCCTTGGAGGTTTCTGAAATTACAGACATACCCTCCCAACAGGATAGAGCCCTTGCTGCTATGAAGAACCACAAAGAAGCTGAGAAGAGAAGGAGGGAGAGAATCAATTCCCACCTTGATGAGCTTCGCACTCTTCTCCCTTGTAACTCTAAGGTATATATATATATATATATTTACTCAAACATACACATATATATGCACACTTATATACTCATAAATATGTAATATTTGCATCATTTATCAAAATTCTTAATTTGGTTTTATGTGTATTTGTCTTTAGATCCTTAATTAATAACCCTCAAGGAACATCATAAAATCCAAAGTTTCAATTTTTGTCTTTTTTTTTTTGAGTGATCAAAAAAGGAACCCCAGTTTGTTTGTTTCTTTGTAAGTACATATAATTGAGTTTAGGAAAGTCACTTTGCTTTTTTACTAATATTATTAATATTAATATTATTACATTTTTTGTGTGTGTGTCTGTGTGGTTCAGACAGATAAGGCTTCACTTCTTGCAAAGGTTGTCCAGAGAGTGAAAGAGCTGAAGCAACAAACATCAGAAATCACCGAACTCGAAACCATTCCATCGGAGACCGACGAGATCACCGTCCTCTCCGCCGGCTGCGGCGGAGGAGACGGGAAGCTGATATTCAAGGCTTCTCTATGCTGCGAGGACCGCTCCGACCTCATCCCTGACCTCATAGAAATCCTAAAGTCTCTTCATCTGAAAACCCTGAAAGCAGAAATGGCAACTTTAGGAGGAAGAACACGCAACGTTCTCATCGTTGCTGCTGATAAAGACCACAGCATTGAATCAATCCATTTCCTTCAGAACTCGCTCAAGTCTTTGCTGGATCGATCAACTTCTAGTGAAAGATCAAAACGACGCCGTGGGTTAGACCGAAGATTAATGGCTTAACAAAGTAACCGAGAGAGAGAGAGAGAGAGCCTCATTATTTTCATCATTCCCTTACATGAGTTTTAATCTGTTAAGTTGATTTGAATAGGTTGTGTTTGTGGGTTAGTTTTGGTTTTTAGGGTAATTAAAAGAGAAAAGGGTGATTGATTATTATTAGTGATTATTGTTTCCGATGTTCTGGGAGATTATTTTAACTCCTATCCACACATGTGTGAGGTTGATGTTTTTTTTATATGAATCTCACACACTTTTATGTGTTTAGGTAATAAAATCATCTCCTGCAATATCAGAAATATTAATTACTTATTATTAAGTTTATGTGACAAGGGGAGTAGCTAGCTAGGGTTTATGTGATGTTTGGAATCTTTTGCATGTGAAGTTAGTAGTAGTATAGTGTAGTCTTGCATGTAAGTAGGAAAAACAGGAGGCTAAGAATCTTACTGATGGGTAATGAAGAAAGAAATGTAGTTTACTTACTTAGTTACGTGCTTTGCAAGTTGTGAGTACTTGTGACAGTGAAGGAAATGAGTCTGTTTTTTTCTGTAAAAGCAATGCTTCTGTGAGTTTCCAAGCTATAGAAAATGGCATATTCGTTTCTCTTTCATAGACTTTCTTTTTCTCATCAGTTGTTTTTTATCTATGTTTTTATCTTCATTTTATTTTACTGAGCTTTACACTGATTCTAAAGAAGAATTGGGGTGGAAAAGAGATGGAATACATGTTGGGAAGTGGATTTTTGGTTGGATTCTTGGTCAGGGTTGATGCTGTAATGGGATGCTGAGGTTTTAGTTACAGTGTTGTTGTTGTTGCTGCTGCTACTGCTGCTGCTGTGTGTTTATGCGACAGTGAAATGACAAAGGGTTTTGTGTAAATGGTCAGTGTTTTCAGCCCCCAGAACTGAAAGAATGTGTTCCCAAATTCAGCTTTTGGAGAAGGGAAAAAAAAAGAAAGAAGGGAAAAGGTGCAATAACCGGTGAGAGAAAGAGATAGCTCATTAGAAGAATAAAAAAAAAAAAAAAATCTCTGCATATATAAATGTTACTTTAAGGTTTCTTTATTAAATTAAATCTGAATACACAATTTCTGTGGTGATTAAAGGTAAAAAATATTTGTGCAGATAAAAAGAAAAGAACAAACTGGCAAGGAAGTCCTGCTGCCCATTGCTCCAGATGTCAGTGCAGAGACAGTACTGTGTTTTGACGTCCATAACAATATTATTATTATTATTATTATTATTATGTTGGTAAAAATAACAATATTATTTACTAACACGTACGAATGAATCTATATGTAGAATTATTATTTTTGGCATATGCTGTATTAAATGTAAATGCAAACTAATTTGCCAAAATATACTAAAAAACAAGTTCAAACAAATACATTAATATACAAATCTAAATTCTAGATACATTTCCAAATTAAATGCCAATTTTACGGTTCATACAGCATATGCCCAAATTCAAGAAAGGGAATTAAGTTTGACTTGAGGTATAATAGGAAAGTTCATACATTAAGTATGGATAATATAAAAAAAATTCACAAACAAATATTAGGTAAAAAAATTTCATAAATTTTATTTTTATTTTTATTTTACATATGATCACATTGAAAAGATCCGTTCATATAATATTTTCCATTCAAATATTTACCTTGCTCCTTTTCAAATCTTTTTAGACTATACTATATTACTATCCACTCATCTCATTTGGAAATTTAATCTTAACTGATATAGCAAATGAACATAAATAGAAGAGAACTCATCCTTATATATTAAATTAGAGTCCACTGTATTAAAGAATGACATGTATCATTAGTTTTATTCTTTTAAATAATATATATATATATATATATATATATATATATATATATATATATATATATATATATTTGACTTCGGTATAAGATTAAGAAGTTTTATTTTCTATCTCAACTGTTGATTTATGTTCATCTAACGATTATATTTTATTGAGTTATATCAAATAATTAATTATTAATTTTAAATAAATTATAACTATTAAATAAACGAAAATCAAGTACTGAAATAAAAAAATAAAACTAAGAATCAAAAAATCTTTCCCCTCTCTATCTATCTATCTATCTCTCTCTCTCTCTCTCTCTCTCTCTCTCTATATATATATATATATATATATATATATATATATATATATATATATATATATGTTTTGAAAATATTCGTGTAAAGCATGGAATAATTGCCAAACATGGATAATCAGCGACTAGTCAAAATGTCCGGCATTTGTTCATATTCTCCTCTTGGTTTCTTTGTTATTATGAAAGAAAAAAAAAGTTTTTGTGTACTTACAGCTATGCATAAGAAGAAAACAAGTTGCCAATAAGCTTATTTATCTATCAATATTCAAATCATATGGTTGTCCTGCAAATTTCTTTGTTGTGGAGTGTGGACTTGTGGCTACAAGAAGTTTCTTTGATAGACAGCCACTTGTAGACTACAATAATTAGTGAATTTATCATATCAAGAGAGGAGATTTAGAAATTGAGAAACGACACAAGCTATGTGATTTACCAATACGAGTTTTTCTTTTGATTTTAGATTATTTTGTCCTCCATATTTTATTGATTTTTCACCTTGAAGTGGGGAAAAGATCTATGTTCTTTCCATGTTACGGCCTACAACATGCCTACATGATCTCATAACATAGGGCATCTGAGTTTCTTTCTTCTTGACACCCCTTTTTCAATTTTTTAATGTAAATGCTCATAACAATAAATGAGTTGGATGAATTGATAAAGCGCCATTGAAGAGAGAGAAAGGGGAGGAGAGAGAAAGAATGAGAGGCAGAGAGAGAGAAAGGAGTAAAAAAGTTTATTTTATATAGTAAATCTTCCTTATTGGATGAGATTATAATCTAACGGTATTGAAAGAGGTAGACAAATGTAGGCAAAATAAGAGTAGACAGAATAACCTATCCATATCTATATATATAAGGTAGGATCATTTGACACCAGTGTCAAATTTTAAATTTGACACCTCATCAGAGAGCCGTTACATCAAAAAAGATCAACGACTCTGATTTGCAAGCATATGACACCATTGATCTTTTTTGATCTAATGACTTTCAGATGAGGTGTCAAATTTAAAATTTGACACTGGTGTCAAATGATCCTGATCCTATATATATGTATAACACCAGTGTCAAACTTAAAATTTGACACCTAATCCGAGAGCCCTTAGATCAAAAAAGATCAATGGTGTCATATGCTTACAAATCAGAGTTGTTGATCTTTTTTGATCTAATGGCTCTCAGATGAGGTGTCAAATTTCAAATTTGACACTGGTGTCAAAGGATCCTCCCTCATATATATATATATATATATATATATATATATATATATATATATATATATATATATATGGTCAAAGGTGTCGAACTTTAAAATTTGACACCAAATCTTAACCGTTGATTTTTACCAATCAACAGTTATCATTTATTAGGAAATAAACTAATTAATTCCTTTGACACCGGTGTCAACCGTTGATTTCTACCAATCAACGATTATCATTTATAGGGATAAGATCCTTTGACACCGGTGTCAAACTTTGAAATTTGACCCCAAATTCTAACTATTGATAATCAACGGTTATCGTTTATTAGAAATTAATAGTTACTTAATTGGTTTAATTCGTAATAAATGATAACCATTGATTGGTAGAAATCAATGGTTAGAATTTGGTGTCAAATTTCAAAGTTTGACACCAGTGTCAAAGAATTCTGTCTAATATATTGTAGTTCATATTTTTTGATAAAATGAATCTTACTTCGCATTGATGCATTCGCATCTCTTATATACATTGTTACTCTACATCAAAAACAGAGGATTACAACCAAAGAGAATAACTGAAAATGAAACTCAACTAACTACTCTACCACTGTAAAAAGCAGAAAGGCCAGGTGGCATTGAATGAATTAACTATACTAAGCCTTGAGTAGTAGCTGTGGGCTTGACTTGAGTCTTGTGCGCTGATACACCCTCCTTACAAACTAGGCTGTGAATGTCATGAATACCCAATTTGGAGAGAAGTGTCCGAAACAACATTGGAGGAAGAGGTTTCGTAAAGAAGTCTGCTAACTGAGCATCAGATGAAATTGGTAACAAATGCAATACACTAGAATGAATTTTCTCACGAGTCACATGGCAATCGATTTCAATATGCTTTGATCTTTCATGGAATATAGGATTATGGGAAAGAGCAATAGCAGATTTGTTGTCACAATACACTGCTGCAGGGCGAGTCTAGGGGATGCCTAAGTCTCGAAGAAGGAACTGTAGCCACTGTAATTCACAAGTTAAATTGGCTAAGGCACGGTATTCGGCCTCAGAAGATGATCGAGATACAATAGCCTGTTTCTTAGAGCGCCAAGAAACTAATGAAGCTCCTAAGTATACACAGTAACCTGTTATTGATTTTGAGATTCAGGACATGAGCCCCAATCAGAATCAACAAAGGCACGATGGCTGATATCACTTGATGCAGAGAAGAATAATCCAGCAGCTGGAGATCCTTTCAAGTAACGCTATACACGATGAGCTGCTTATAAAGGGATATCCATTGGCTTAGATACAAATTGACTGAGACGATTAACTGAGAAAAAGATGTCTGGGCGAGTGGTTGTGAGATAAAGGAGCTTTCCTATTAATCGTCTGTACGTAGTACGATCAGCAAGAGCTGTGCCATCATTGGAAGTCAACTTTAAAGAAAAATCCATAGGAGTGGAGACTGGTTTAGATCCAAGGAACCCATTTTCTGCTAAAATTTCTAGCGAGTATTTCCTTTGATTGATAATAAGACCAGTTGAAGAATGAGAGATTTCTAGGCCAAGGAAATAGCGAAGAGAACCAAGGTCCTTGATTTTAAATTGAGCATCCAATTAGCCTTTGACTTGTGTGATTTTATTGAGATCATTGCCACATAATACTAGATCATCAACATAAACCACCAAGGCTGTAAATGAAGATCCACGAGAAACAGTAAATAATGAATGATCAGAAGTAGATTGGCTGTAACCAAGAGATAACAGTGCAGTTGAAAGTTTGGAATTCCATTGATGGCTGGTTTGTTTGAGACCATACATGGACGTTTGTAGATGGAAAACCTAATTTGGTCGAGAGCAAAGAAATCCAGGAGGTGGAACCATGTACACTTCCTCATGGAGATCACCATGAAGGAAGGTATTGTTCACATCAAGTTGTTGAAGATGCCATCCTTTAGCTACTGCCACTGAGAGAAGGACCCAAATGGTAGAAACTTTGGCAACAGGTGAGAATGTGTCGAAATAGTCAACACCTTCAAGTTGAGTGAGTCCTTTTGCTACCAAACGTGCCTTGTACCTTTCTATGGAACCATCCACATGGTATTTGATTTTAAAAACTCATTTGCAGCCAATGAGATTCTTACCAGGTGGCAAGTCAACAAGGGACCAAGTTTATTGTGCTCAAGTGCTGCTAGTTCAGATTTCGTTGCTTGGAGCCACTGAGGATGTTTACTGGCTTGGGTATAAGTTTGAGGCTCAATATTAGCAGAAACATTAAGGCAAAAATTTTTATACATGGGAGAACATTTTGAGTAAGATAAAACTTGAGATAAAGGATATAAGGTGGAAGAAGGAAGCGAAGATGTACCTGACTGAGACTGATTTGTCTGTGCAGCAAGTAGCCCAAGATGATAGTCTTGAAGATAATGTGGGGCTTATCTAGTCCTGGTTGATCTTCGAAGAGGATTTTCTGGTATGATATTTGCTGGTGATGATATGTCTGGTACTTAAGTAGTAGGATTGATGGTAGGTGGTACGATAGGATTTGGTGGAGTAGCAGGGGTTGGTGGAAGGTCATAAGTGGGTAAAGGTGTGGAAATGGAAGATGTGGTAATGTCATGAAAGGGAAAATTTTCTTCAAAATATATGACATTTTGTGAAATGTGAATTTGATGAGTAAGTAAGTCATTACAGTGTAATCTTTAGTTCCTGGGTTATAACCAATGAAAGCACATTTGTCGGATCTAGGTGATAATTTTGAACGATGGGCAGATATGGTTGAAGCAAAACATAAGCAACCAAATACACGTAAATGATCAAAAGTGGGTGGGGTGCCATATAAGGTTTGGTACAGGGTTAAATGGTCCAGTAAGGGTGTAGATAATCAGTTAATGATGTGGGTGGCATGTAAAATGGTATATGGCCAGAGAGATAATGGGAGCTTGGCTTGAAAGAAGAGGGAACGAGCCACATTCAGTAAGTGCTGATGTTTCCTCTCCACAAGACCATTTTGTTGTGGTGTTTCTACACATGTGGTTTGATGAATAATACCTTTGCTAAGGTAAAAATCTTTCATTAGGAACTCACTGCCATTGTCACTTCTAATGACTTTGAGGGAGGTGTTAAATTGGTTTTCAATAAGGGCAACAAAGTTATGGATATGCTGTCGAGTTTCGCTTTTAGCTTTCATAAGGATTACCCAAGTGAACTTTGAGAAATCGTCCACTAATGTTAAAAAATATTTTTCACCATGAATTGAAGGCAAGGAGCATGGCCCCCAAATATCAGCATGCAGTAAGTCAAATGGTTTATTTGATTTTGTATGGCTAGGTACAAATGGTAATTTCTTCTGTTTGGCAAGGAAACATACATCACGAGGGTTTATAGAATTTTTACAAGAAATATATGAAAAACAAGTGGACATCTGCTGCATTATTTGTTGAGAAACATGACCAAGTCGACGATGCCATAAGATTGCAGCTTTCTCACTATTATTTGACTTCGAGACAACATTGCAGTGGGTACCTGCTTAATGGTTTGGTCTTTTGGTGTCTTCAGAGACTATCACATATAGACTATTTTGTTGCTCAGCTAAACCAGTCATCATTATGGTATGAGGCTGTTGTAGAAAACAAGAAGAACCATGAAAAATTGGTATTCTGCAAGAGTTTGCTAACAGAAACCAAATTAATAGAAAAATTAGGAACATATAATACATTTGAAAGGATTAAATGAGGAGAAAGGTGAATTGTTCCAGAATGTGTTGCCAACACATGGTGGCCATCTGGTAATATAACAGAAATGGGTTTGATTTTTTGTAGGAATGAAAATTCAGATAATTCATGAGATATTTGATCAGTGGCTCCTGTATCAAGAAGCCACTTGATTTGAGATTTACTTGGTTGGTTCATAAGATTGGATGTGTTTGCTTCTACCTGTGCGGCAGAAACTTGGACAAGGTTTGAGGAATGTGCATTGATATTGGTATCTTGTGTTTGTGTTTGTAGGAGGTTTAGTATTTGTTGGTATTGGTCATGTGATAAGGTTGGAGGATTGTTTGTGGCTTGTTGAGAATTTTCTTGGTTAATGCCCTCATCTGAGACTTCAATATAATGAGCATTATGATTGAATCTACTTCTGTATCCTGGTGAAAAACCATGCTTATGAAAGAAGGTTTCCACAGTGTGGTTTGTCCGGCCACAGTGCGTGCAGAGCTTACCACCATATTTTGGTCCTCTTCCAAAGATATTGCTACGACCACGTCCTCGTCCATAAGTGTCTGCTCTATGGAAAACTTGAGTAGCAGAATTAGCAAATGCATTAGTTGTAGCTGTAGATGATTCATGAACATTTCCTCCTTGTAACTGTCTTTCTTGCTGACTTACCATGGAGAAAACTAGATTCACATTTGGAAGGGGATCAATTAACATAATTTGTGATCTCACCTGTGCATATTGATCATTCAAGCCTCTTAAAAATCTGATCACGTAATCACTTTCTCTGTATGTTCTTGGAAGTGTAACAACTCCACAAGTACAAGTAATATCGCATCTACAGCTTGGCAGTGGCCTCAGGTTCTCAAGTTCATCCCAAAGGATCTTCAATTGAGTGAAGTATTCACTTACACTCCTATCACCTTGCTGCAGTTTGAACAAATCTTCCTGCAGATCTAAAACTCGAATATATCGGATTGAGCAAAACGATCTTGCAAATCTCTCCAGACATCGTAAGCTCGTTCAATCCAGATAATGGACTAAGCAATGGTTTCTGATATTGATCGATGAATCCATGCTAGGACCATCGTATTACAACGCTGCCATAGAGGAAAAATCGAATCTATTGGTAAAGGTGCTTCAATGGAGCCATCAACGAAACTCAAATTTTTCTTGGATATCAACGCTACAGTCATGGCTCGACGCCATGCGTGATAATTTTGCCCTGATAATGGAGGTGATACCAGAACCAAGGATGGACTTTCGTTAGGGTGCAAAAAGTAAGTATTGGACAAATTTGTGATATGCTCTGCAATCAGATTCAGGTTTGCCATTGTTGATGATTGAAATGAAGAAATCAACAACAAAAGAAAGAAATGTTTCAAGGATTCAAGTAATCACAGCGGAAAAATAAAAGCGCGGTTATCAGAGCCCCTTTTCAAAGCTCGATACCATATTGGAGTTCATATTTTCTGATAAAATGAATTTTACTTTGCATTTATGCATTAGCATCTCTTATATACATTGTTACTCTGCATCAGAAATAGAGGATTACAACCAAAGAGAATAACTGAAAATGAAACTCAACTAACTACTCTACAGCTGTAAAAACAGAATGGCCAGGTGGCATTAACAGAAAAGCCAGGTGGCATTGAATGAACTAACTATACTAAGCCTTGAGTAGTAGCTGTGGGCTTGACTTGAGTCTTGTGCGCTGATATATTGAGTCTTGTAACTAACTATACTAAGTCTAACATATATATATATATATATATATATATATATATATATATATATGAGAAAAGTTATATTTACAAATCTTTTATTTACAAACTCTCACAAACTACATTATGTCTAACCCACAGCCCAAACTCTCACAAACTACATTATGTCTAACCCATAGCCCAAACTCTCACAAACTACATTATGTCTAACCCATAGCTACACATAGGATCCTTCTCATATATATATATATATATATATATATATATATGATAGGATCATCTTACACCGGTGTAAGAATAATAAGTCTTACACCAAATCTTAATCGTTGATTTCCGTATATCTAACGGCTAAGATTTATTGGGAATTAAAAATTAATTAATGAGTGAGACCTAATAAATCTTAACCGTTAGATGCAAAAAATTAATAGTTAAGATTTGGTGTAAGACTTATTATTCTTACACTGGTGTAAGATGATCTGCCCATATGTAAGTTCAATGCATTGAAGATTCAAATTAATTTGTTTCTGATCACGAGAAGTGGTCATAATATTTCAAGAGTTTGACATTTTATGTGATTATATATAAGGAAAAATATACTCTTATGTTCTAGGAGAAAATTTTTCTCTCCTACACATACATCGATTTCCGTATTACTTTTTTATTCTTTTTTTTTCCAATAGTGGATGGGTCCCACACATGATTATCTCTATTGCATGAGAGAGTTCTCTCCTATTGCATGAGATTAATAAAGCTCTATATATAAACATAGTCAGAATTCATTAAATTAGGTTTCAATATAAAATCAGATGACATAATAATTGTTTTTTATTAATAATACATCATAATTTAATTATAGTATTTTTATATAGAATTTATTTGGTATATATGCATTATTAACGTAAGTGAGTTTTATATTAACATCCACTAATATTTTCTGATATTATTATTCATTACTGTTATTTGAATTATTGATAAAATGAGATAATAATATGTCAAAATACTAACAAATATGAGTATAAAACTCCTTTACGTTGATCGTTTATGTCAATTAAATTCTTTTATATTTTTTTAAAGTTTTTAAAGTTATTTTAGATAATTTTATCTAATGTTAAACAAAATACACACAAAATAGTGTGTGAGATCCATATGAAGATAAGTATGGGTGTTAACAGGCTGAGTCGAGCCGAACTTTGGTATTAAAATGCTAAGTCTGTGTTTAAATGGGTTAGCTTGACCAAGCCTATTACCTGTTATGAATATAATTATCGGCCTGTGACCTGTCTTATTTACAAAATTTAAAATTCTGATTTAGCCTGTTTAAAAAAAAAAGACAACGAAAATTTATCTAAACAGAATATATAATCAACAACACTAGTAATTTCATAAATTTTCATAAATTCAATGTATATCCAAACAGCATAATATAGAACAAAATCATTCAAAAAGTCTGTTTAACAATTAAAATGGGGTGAAATGGATTGAGGAGAGAGGGCTATTACAAGTAGTATAAAAAATATAAAATAAAATTAAAAATTAATATACTAGGTCAGCCTGAGAGGGTCTAAGGCCGAGCTTTTGAATTAGAGCTTGAAGCATTTTTATTAAATGAGCATTGATACAAGTCCAAGACTGCTTTCAACAACCAATTTTAAGCATGTAAGCTCAAGTCTTCACGAGCCAAGCCAAAGGTCTCTGGTTTGTTTTCCACCCCTAAAGATAAGAGAAAAAAAAAATGGTCCCCATACACTTTTATGTGTATATTCTGGTGGATATTAGATAAAGTTATCTAAAGTAATTTTTGAAGCTACTTTTAAGTTAAAGCTTAAAAAACAAAGCTAAAAGCTGTTTGGTGATTACAAATTTTTTTTAGCTTAAAGGTTACTTAAAAGCACATATTTCAACAAAAGTCTCTCTCTGTATATATATATATATATATATATATATATTTATATATATATATATATATATATATATATATTTATGGCTTTTCATTTCAAAAAAAAAGCACACAATTCAAGAAAAACTGCTAAGAGTTTTAATTTTTTTTTCTCCTAGGAACTTTTGGTTTTTGTCTTTTTTTTATTATAAAAAAAAACTTTTTATTATAAGAACTTTTTTCAATACTTATAAGGAGAATAGAAACTAAAAATATGAGGATGCAAGCAAGCACGTAATAACCTAATATACCAGTAGTTTACTATTTTTTTTTTTAATTGAACACTGCACTTGGATATAATCAACACCACCAGCTTAGATAAAAGAATTAACGTTTCTCATGTATTGTAAAATAAAATTATCTTTTGCAATTCTCAATAGAAGTTATTTTAGGATTATTGAAGATAATTTTATCTCATATTACATGAGACATTTTTCTCATAAATAAAATTGGTTACCTCTCCGTCTTCTTGTATTTTTGGATTCGTCTACAACATAAACAAATTGCTAGTGGTGTTGTATACTCCTTCGACATCACATCAAATTGAAGCTATTCGAAACTCAATTTAGCCATAAGAAAGAGTAATTGAAACCAAACACAGCTCTCCTTCATGAGTGCACCTAAATCTTTGAGAGTTTAATATCTCGTGCTATTGAAATGGGAAGAGCGTGTGTGGTATTATAGGAGCTTTTTATATCGGCTAGAGAATGAGGAAGGTGCTTGTGGTATATCATAGGGAAAAACAAAAACAAAATGTACTCTGTTTTAGAGTTAAAGAAGAAAAGAAGGTTATTGTAAGTAAAAATTAAGAATTTAAGCAATTGCATGGAGATAAGACATATGTTATTGTTTGTGATTCATTCAGGATAAATCATTTGTCTAATTGGTTCATCCCTAACTCTCCTAATTTTAAGCGTTTATATTTAGGGAAAAACTTTTTTTATTTTATAGGAATCAAAAATTTATCTCCTACTAAAACAAAATGGTAGGAACATCATTTTTTTAAAAAATAAAATAAAAAAAACACGAAAGACTTTTTCTCACTTGTGGATATGGAGAAAATCATTGCCCATTTATTTACTTTTATTTTAGGCTCAAAATTACTTTTTGTTTTAATTAAAATGTCATATCAATATGCAAAATTGTACGAATGGTTTGAATGCCAGGTTTGACCAGCAAAGTAGTGAACGCCATGCTATTTGCTCAGTTACCTGACTGAAATGAATTCCTAATCATTATTATTCATTCCATCTCCTCGTCACACTGTGCTGGAAATGAGGAGAATTATATTAACAATTTTTTTTATAAATTTATAAATTATATTATATTTTATCGGTAAGAGTTTATTTAAGAGTGTTTGACTGATAAAATATAACGTAGTTTATAAGAGTTTGTAAATAAAAAATTTATAAATATAACTGCTTTAATATAATATTTCAAGAGATTATATTACTTTAAGGGGGTATTTGGTAGAGGAATTTTTTTTATCGAGGAATCATGATTTTTAGGAATATGGTGAGAAAACAAATTTGCCGGGAACATTACCAAAAAGCTATTTGATAGACCAATTTTTTTTTTGGAATATTGGGTCAAATTTTTGATTCTATGTTTGGTTGATTGTAAAATATTGCTGGAAATATGGACCGAATTTATAAAATTAACCTTAAGTTTTTTTTTTAATTCAGCCTCAATTTTCTTCTTCTCTCTATCTCAACTCGAGGAAGACGAGGACGAAGATGAAGACGATGTCATAAATGAAGCTCACCAAGAATGCGTTGAGGCTCAAGTAGCTTGCGTGAGTGGGAGTGGTTGCAAATGTCGATGAAATCCTACTTCCACATGTCAAAATTGCTCGCACCGATAGTACTACATAGGACAACAATGGTAAGGACGAGACAGAGGATCATAACATTGCAATGGCTCTTAGCTTTCTGGAATCTTCTTATCCTTTGAGCTCCCAAACACTTGTATAACATTTTTTGCCCTATCTCAATCTTATGCTTTTTGTTAATTTATTGATTTAAAGCAAAACACGAGAAAATTTGAGAAAGAAAAATTGGTGAGATTCGAAAAGCAGGGAGGGTTTTTTGTCTGAAAAAATCAGTGAACATTTTTTCACCATATAAGATTTCTAAAATACTACATATTCAATGATATTTTAATTTGAGATTTTTGTGTATAAAGCAAAATCTTGGAATTGTAATTTTCCCACGAAATTTTTTACACTCCCTTGTATCAAACTTGGATAAACCAGATACCCAATATCGCTTTTCGGAAAATCTTAAATTTTCCTATATACCATACACTCGGGACGTTTGGTATTGGAGAAATTTCTTTTATCCGAAAATCACGATTATCAAAAAAATGATGAGAAAATAAGTTTTTTGGAAATGTTACAAAAAAATTGTTTGGTAGACTAACATATTCCCAAAAATATTGAGTTAATTTTGTTAATGTTGTGTTTAGTTGTATTAAATTTTCCTTTGCTATAGAAATCTTAAAATACCACCTTATGAATGGTATTCCTAGATGGTTTTTTCAAAAAAAATTACACACAAAAAAAAATCCCGGAAAAATCAGATTCTCGAGAAAATTTTAAAAATTCTGTACCAAACAATGCATTCTTATTTACCTAACCAAAAAATTCCGGAAAAACAAAAAAAAATCCTGCTAACAAACGAGCGCTGAATGATTTAACACATAGCGTTTAGCCGTTTACATTATTATTATCGTTATGAATAAACTATAAGCATCAACAGTACTGCAATTAAGAATTTGAAACACACACATATACACACAAAAACTGTTATGTAAATCTATTACAATTTGAATTAATTTATGTATAAAACTGTCAATGTAATGTTACACTAATTATAAATAAATTTAATATAAAATGGTATTTAACTATTTTTGCATGTATGTGTTATAAAATTATTAATTGTAATTTGTGCGTTTTTTCCATCAAGCAAATCATAGATTTTTACTTTGGATCCACCATATAGTATTTGTTAAATTGATTACCTTTTAATGTTATAGACTTATCGTATAAATTTAATATATGTAAAATGAACACAAAAGTTCCCTTTAAAATTTACATAAAAATTAGTTAAAAATTAAATTGCTTCACACTAAAAATTGGAAAGAAAAAGAAAAAAAGAAAGAAAAAAAGGTTGTATCTTACCTTAATATCATGATCAAGAATGAAGACATCAGATTGTTATAAACTTAGCAGCATGCAATCTCCGAAATGAATGAAAAGGAATCACTAAGGTGGTGTTTGGTTGGGAGCTTTTCAGCAGATATCTATCTTTCTCAAGTATAGCTTTTAGAAACACCATGTTTGTTTCAACGTTTTTCACCAAAAACCCATCTATCCAATTTGTTTGGATTTATGAGAAACATAGATATCCGCACTGTTTAGAAACCCAATTTGAAGGTGGAATTTTTCGGAAAACCGGTTATCTGGCTTTTAATGCACTGTTGATTTCATAAAGCTACTTAATTTTCCCAGTAAAGTTTTTTTTCCACCAAACAACTTTTTTTTATATTTTTCTACCTATGTCACTTTATCTATTTTTCCAATCATTTCTCTATCTATATCATTTCCCTACTGTTCCAAAAAAAATTTCTGAACCAAACGTCCCCTAAAGAGAAAAGGGCTAACGTAGGTGGCATAAATTATGCCTGTTCCATTATCCACGTATGTATAGAGATACATGTCTTTCTGGACTAAGAAAAAACTCTTTACGTTGAGCGTGCGCCATATAAGCTTTATTAACCATTGTTAATTATCTTTTATTTGAACTAAATTTTTTAATGCAACAACTTACATAAAATATACGTATAATGATACATAACCATAATTAACCTTACATTGATCTTAGAGTACATAAGAATATACATAATAATGAGGAAGGATATTTTCACTACTAAAATTTTTCACTACCAACTTACTACCTATCTAATCACCATTAAATTAGCATTTTCTCTCACTTCAAAAACTTTTTAACATTCTCTCTCTTTGATTCAATGGTGATTAGATAAGTAGTAAGTTAGTAGTAAAAAATTTTGGTAGTCAAAATATTCTCCCTCAATAATAATTAACCGAGTATTGATATTAGAGCACATAAGAATACGTAATTATCAGGTATATATAAACACGAAAGAACACGCAAAGGTGAAGCGTGCATAAAGGAGGCTGACAAAAGGCAGCAGTAGTAGGAATTGAAACACAGCAAATCATAGAAACGGAGAGATAAAAGATGCCAATGATAGTGGCACTGGCACACCTCATTGAACCATCGGTGGACACTAGCCTTGGTTTAGGTTTGATTATCATGTTTCTCGTTTTAGTAAGTGATATATAATCCCACCTAATCCCTATTTGAGCTTGGTAATCTTTTTTGACCTATGTGCGTGTCTTTTCCTAATCTAAACTTTTGTTCTACTAAAAAACAAAATATAATATATATGTATAGTAGTATATAATAGGAGTTTGATTAAGGAATAAATCTAATTTAACTTATGTATTCATGTGGGGTCCATGAGGATTTTTCTTCCCATAGTAGTGAGATACAGTGGTTTAAACTTCAAATGACAAGTTTCACCCAAAGTGCAGACAAAATGCATTGTGCATTGGGTGATTTGTCGGAGACGTGCTTAATTTGTATGTACTTTATCGATTGTCCCTTTGCTATGACCCCTTTTTGTCTTCATTGCCATTGTTGGCGTGCTTTACTCTTCTCCATCCACAATATACACAATATGTTTTTATCTCTCTCACACACAAAGGAACACATGCTCTGCCAATGCCACTATATTTTAACTCTTCGCAAGTTGCTATGCATTTAGAACTCATATACTTGAAACCTCTCGCTCTCCACATTTCTCTATTTCTTTAGCAATGAATACTACGGGGAAAAAAAGACAAGGGGATATTCATCGACTCAAAGTATTACGAACCTATTGTTCCTCTTGATTATAGGATGCATGAAAAATAACTAGAAAGCTTATAGCTATGCACAGAGAGGTTCTACAAGTTCGAGTTCACACTTCTTCCTCTATTTTGGGACCAAGTGGTTGTTCTCTTTTTCCTCCAATTCTTATTTCTTAAGTGGCTTCTAAAAATGTGCTAAACTCTGTACAAGTACTCCGACCATTATCAACTGAACTAACTCCCATTAAGGCAACTTTACTGTTTTTAATACCGGCAGCATTGGATGCAAAGTTAGCATGCTTATGTAGGTTCTTCAGTGCTACCTAGAAACTATAGTGCTTACTGGATGAGGTTACCATTCGGAGGTAATTCAATGCTATGATAGTACAACTAATTGCAGTGACTGCCAAATTGATTGTGCCACTGATTATCTTAAAATCTCAGTTCCAAACACCCATGGTGGTAGGTCTACAGTCCAGTTTTGTTGCCCATGGCCACTTTTTCTTTCTTTCTTTTTTTTTCTTCTCAAATACATTATTATTAACTCTCATCATGGCCGAAAGCAAGCAGAGAACAACAGGAAACAAGGTCATACTTCATTACTCTTATTTTTTCTACATTTTCCTGATCATAGAAGAAGCCATTAATGCAACTTCCTCTTCTCAGGAAACTCTTTCATAGTTTTTGCGTAATACACTAATTAAATCACAACATATGCCACAAAAAAATGAATTTATGTGCCCGAATTAACTTTAAAATGAAATATGGACAGTCAGACATATTACATCTAAGAAAAAACTCCAGTAAACTGAGTTCGTTTCGAAAGAAAACAAGATAATTTCAACTCTTGCATTTTAGTATATTAAAATCACAATACACTTAATTTAAATACACGCTCACTTACGCCTAGAGTATGCAAGAATGTCTCTCTCTTTGGAGTTATATTAGAAGCCGTTTTAACACTCAAAGCAAATGAGAACGTATAACATTCTTTGGATATCAAATGTTCTTCTCAAAAAGTGTTTTCTACCATAACTGTTTTCCACTAAACTATTTGACACACGACAAATTTTCTATGATCATACTACGCTAATGAAATATGTTAACCAAAGTTAGAAGTTCACAGTAGTGATTGCTAAAAGCAAAACACGTATAAATATCTCATACAAAGTTGGCAATGATAATTCAATGATCAAAATTCATCTGCTAGCAACAACAGTGGTGTCAGCCCAATGATAAAAAAATAATTGGCAAGGGAGACATCCATGCTCGACTTTAACATGGAGTGATAAAACAAAGGGTATTCTTACATGTGGCTTAATTTCCAGAAAATAACAAAAAGAAGGAAAAGGATCAGGAAGATGTAAGATTTAAGACGCTAAGAGGAAAAAATAAAATCTCACCCTTGTATAACTAATATCACTTTTGTTTTCCTGCCTGTAAGCATTTACTGTACAACGGCTTGCATCAAGGCCAAACCATTGTGATCAATGACCAGATGATATTGTTAGTCGGTCACTTTGCACCGGAACTTATTCATGACTCCGGGAGGTAGATGCAATATAACAAGAGGGAGACTGTATAGATCACCATTTAGATGGCAATTTTATGTCAAAGGAACAAGTTCGAAAATCATTGGGCAGCAGTTACTGACTTAGAATGTCTGAAACTCTCACAGCCTGGGCAGTTGTGCAAGCTCTCATGAATGTAGATGTCGCAATCAAGGCAGAATTGTTGTTTGCATTTTGGGCAACTAACAGAAAGTCCAGGTTTGTTTCCTGTGCCACAAGAAGTCAATAGAGGTTTTAGGAAATTGAGCAAGAACATATTCTACATGCAATGCTATTTGGAAGAGAAGAGAAATGACAAGGAGTTTTATGGCATCAGCTGTGCTACTGTAGATTTTCAGCAGAGGACTTATGGAGCAAAAATACCCTTAATCAAAAGGAGTCAACAATTTCTGCCATATATTCACAGAAATATGACCACAGCCACTTAAAATCACGTTCCTTCAAAAACTTAAAATTCTTTGGTAATTGTAATTAGCATGCTCAATGCATACACATTGTTATTAGAATCCACCATTGTCCCCATGTTCTTAAGCAGTCATAGGTTTTTTTCCCCAAATTTGAGATCAATAGCATAACTTTAACACTATCTTGAAACCGTAGATGCATCATCATGATGACAAGAAAGCTAAGGCTTTATGTCTGGCAAAAATTATTCCTTATTATCACGCACATGACATCATAGTTGTTAGAATTCAATGCCCTTGTAAGATACTAGCATTAAGACACTGTACATGAGCATATTGCAGAACAAATAGTTGGTTTGCCATTCAAAAAAATTCAGCCATCACAGTATGCACTCGATAGGTCATAATATGTTACAACGCTCTAGGTGGTTAACAGGGATGTTTATCACAGATAAGATAATAAAATATTATAGTTTCTTTTTGTCTGCTTAAGCTGTGCAATGGAAGTAGGATTGAATTTTCAAGATTCAGATATGTGATTATAAATTGAAAACCAACACCATCTATCAATAGGATTATTGCTAATCTCTTTTACCATGGCTAGATCCTTTTAACATAAGATCTACTAAATAAATAAAACTGGATACACAAGACACATAAAACTATTTCCACTACCAATTTATGAATTTTTATAAAATATGGAAGATGAACCCAGTGAATAACTTATGAAATTACAGACCTATTTGCTATCTTTACTATTATTTCACCCTTAAAGAGGTATGATATGAGTCTATATTTGACATAGCATGTTGGCCGACATGATAAAATTGTAAATTGCTCAAATTGTAAAGATATGAAGAAACTCAATCTGACTACCTTTCTGCAGAAACTTACCCTGACTAAGAAGACTTTGTTGACAACCAAAACAAGTATTGGGAAAACTGTGGCTTGGATCATTTCGAGATGACGGAGTGACCTCATCAAACGGTACTATAGGAAAGAGATGATGATATGACCTTGCCAAATGGGGTGAAGAAATAAGGGTCAATCCACATATGCGACATTCAGTAGGAAGCTCACAGACCCGAACTTTACATTTTGGACAAGTGTATCCCCCACCGGTCTTAGCCTCTTGATGACATGTACAAATTGCAACAGAACCCTCAGCTGCTCTTTGTGGGAAACCCATCTTAATTAAATTAGAAGTAGCATACTCTGCTATTGCTGGAGGTGGAGGAGCATGCTCTAGAATTAACTCTTTAAAGTGGGACTGCATGAGATGAGATGTATACAACTATATGAATGCATATTTACAAACATTTGAAAAATGGGAACACATTATACGGTGATCAGCAATATTCCAAATAAGGTAACTTGACTATGATTACTCAAATCACTTTTATAAAAAGGCAAATCTCGGTGCACAAGGCTCCTTAACATGCAAGGGTAGGGATGAGCGTCGATTGTACATAGCTTTATCATTGCATTTATGCAAAAAGACTATTTCCCATACTTGAACCCATGACCTTCCGGTGCACAAGGCTCACCCTCTCAAATCACTTTTGCAGACAAGGATAATTTGTATTCGTACTACATCTACCTGGGTTCCATCAAAATCAACAAACTAACCTCATCTAGCGCAACAGAATAAGTTCCTCCAGTTTCTTGGCAGAGATGTTTGCATACAAACATTTCAGCAGCAAGACCAATGACAGAGCATCTTATTTTACTTTTTTTGCATTTCTGGATGGTTTCCATGAGATCACCAGGATCACATGTACTGAGAGCTGAATATAAGATCAGAACTTCACGATGACCATATGATGGGATTTGATTTAGATAGCCAAGAACAAGCTCGAGTGCATTTTGTAGGGAGGCATCACCTGAGCATTCCAGTTTACCCATCAAAGCTTTAATGTGGGACTCAGGACTGCCACCAAGATCTGTTAAGCAATAAGCAATCCCATCTTTTATAGTCACCAGACCAACATGACTAAGTGGATTCTGATCAAAGAACTCCCTGATAAATGCCTCAACTTGTTTCCCGATCACGGCCATCCTACTTGGTCGAAAGTCTGTCTCTGCAGCTGCCTTCAAGTGATGACAGAAACCGAGTTATAATACAAGGAGAAGAAATTAATACGACATAAATGTAAACACAAGGTTCTACATTTTATTCTATTTTTTATTTTGGAATTTTTGTAATATATTTCTCCCAGTAAATTTATTCTTACTATGGATATTACTTCAATTAGAAGTTGAACAAGATACTTGTGGGGCCATAAGCAATTTCCTAATGTCTTTTAAGGCATAAGAACAGCTCAGCATGGAAACACCAGAGTGACTATGACATGCTTATGAATAATCTAGTAAAATTTTGAAGTTTTAAGTGTTAGGTGCTAATCTACTGAACAAATATAGATGTATTCAAAAGGAAAAAGATAATACTTCAAAAAATAAATGTATCTCAGCCTAAGTAAAAGGCATTACAGATATTGGAAGAAATGCCATCCAATAAAACTAAGTAAATTAAACTTTCACAAGTTTATTCACAAAAGTGTTCTAATAGAAGCACCACATCCTACTATTGAAACTCTATTTTCAAGTAATCAAAGCATTATTCCATGCTAAATGTCTCAGAATTCAGAAGCAAAAACATAAACTGTAAAATAATGAATCAAACACCTTGGAAAAGTCAACAATAACATATAGGTATCGTATAAGACCCTTCTGAATCCGTGCAGTAGCTGCTGTAGATGCAAGGGCACGAAGGCGCCTGCGATACTGGGCATGGTAAATGGCTGTATTATCTATGGGGCGAAGAAGTCCAGATTCATCCTCTTGCAGAGACTCCCATGATCTATCTTCTGCATAAGTTCTCTCCCAGGCTTCAAGGTCTCCACCATTAGCTTCGTCTTCTTCATCATCTTCTACATCTCCATTAAGTGGTCTTTCAGCAACATTATTCATAATTTCTAGACCAAAAGATGCAGAAGTTAATTAACCAAGGGGAGCAGTAGCAGCAATCAAAAAAAAAAATTGTATCATATTTCATTCAATAGACATTAATCTCGGAACACTAAAGCAATTATATCGAATCATCAGTACTAAAAAGAGATCTTTAGGTGCAATCACACATGCAGAAATGAACCATACACACGCAATAAAGAGGCCAGAAAAGAAACAGCATAATTCAATCATTGTGTTACCTGTAAGAAGCAGGAATTCTGAATTCTGAAAAAAAGATTATGAAAAACTACAACCTAATATGATTTTAAACAGGATATTTAGTCCATACAGCATGTGATAAAATTCCATACCAGTGTAATGTGAAATAAGAACATGAAAAATAAAAACCTCATGATTTGAAGTTTGAACAGAATGTTTAATTCATATTCCACAAATAGAACAGGATGTAGTATCAATTTCAAGCCAATGTCACGTAAAGGTAAGACTAAACTACATAGGATTTTGTCATGCTGGACTATCAATTAACTTTCTTTCTTCAGTATCACTAGGTTACAATCTGAATCAGATTAATACCTCTAACATTGTGCTTTTGTGTGACAAAAACTGATTAGAAATTTCAGTAAGAGCAGAGAAAAGAATAATTACAATATGGGAGATAAACCTACCTCCTAATACCTAAAAGGAATTAAAAAAAAAATTGAAAAAGAAAAGAAAAGAAAGAAAACAACAAATTGAAGAGATGAAAGCCATTACAAAAAAAGATAAAGGCATCATTTTTTCATTATAAACAATGGCAAGTAATTGCAACCACATTTATATGATCAACCATTCACCACCCTTCCACGTGTCATTATTGAAGTCCGCCACCAACAGCATTTACATTTACATTTACAATCATTAAAAAGGAAATGGTAGATTATGTTAGAACTTAAAAAAATAAAAAAATAAATAAATAAATTCAAAAGAGTCACCATAACTTTTTTTAGTTATTTAAAAACTTAAAAATTTCTTAAAAAAATTTGAAAACCAGTATGCGAAAAGAAAGCCCCATTCAGGAGTCTATTTATGAAATAGCAAATGATGGAAACTAAATCCCACTTCACCTCGTACATCCTAGACGGTTACCCTATATTTCAATTGCGCCAATAAATAGCCTAAACACATTTGATTTACCATATAAAGACAAAGATAGAGAATAAACCATAATCTACCCCATTCATTCTGCAGAGTACAAATAAACTCTTGTTAAGGCATTTCATCGAACAGCTTGTGTACAAATTACCCAAACACGGACAATCAAATAAGCAGAAGTGACTACTTAGATTCAAAATGAAAGAGCATGAGCTATCAGTGCTTACCTCAAGATCCTTCTTCTTCTTCTTCTTCTCTGTTTCAGTGACACTGAAATCCTTCACACAATACCCTCTATGGTGACTCTATTGGGTAATTGGGTTATTAGTCTCAGTGACTTAGCTTGGGTACTTCAAATGGGCCACATGGTTATCGATGGTCTTTTTCTTATTTAGAAATCTTATAAAAAGAGAAAAATTAAATTAAACTTTTTCATAAATATTCTAAAATATTTCCTTAACCATTTTTCTAAGTTTTCTTAAATTGAGGGGTTTTAAAAGAATAATAACTCAATTTTTTTTATTTATCTCTATTTCAATTTAAAAATTACATTTTAATTATATTTGGAAGTTTTAGAGAGAAAGAAATTCTTGAATTTTTCTAAAAAAATTATGGAAGAAAAGTGGACTTTTTGACTCTTTTGCCCCTCATTAAATAATTAATAACCAATTTGTCCCTCCTCCAGAACTATCCACCATCCTGCCCCCTTTAGTCGATTAAGGTGAAGGTTTAGTCGATTAAATTTTCAAAATACAGAAAAAGTGAAGCCCGGAATTTAATCGACTAAAAAACCATCTTGATTGATTAAATTTCGGGGAGATTTAATCGACTAAAAAGGTTATTTAGTCGATTAAACCGCAACATATTAGTTTTTTAAACCCCCCCCCCAATTCGCAAAGGGGGTTATTTTCAAACTCTAGTCGATTACAATAGCTCCAAACCCCCAAAATATCACCTCATCAAGAACCGACCAAAACCTCTCCCCTTAGCCGTCTGATTGCACCATCAAATCGTTGCACCTTGTGAAATTGAGTGGGTAGGTAACGTTTTGGCACTTGCATTGTGTTTTATGTTTTGGTTTTTTTTTCCTCTCCTTTACATGATATTGTTTCTGTTTTTTTCTGTTTTATGGTAGAACGTTGTTTTATTTTTTTTATCTTGAGTTATTGATATTGTTTCATCAAGATAAACATTAGGGATTCAATTTTTTTTTCCGTTTTCATGATTTTGATTTTTGAGTTATTGATATTGAGTTATTGATATTGTTTCCACTTGCATTGTAGGTAAGCTTGTTAAAATGGCTGGGCGTACAAGATCAAGCAATATCGAAGGTGAGAGACGCACGAAGCAACGACAAGATCAGCCGTCTTCGTCAAGGCCACAAGACGAAGAGCCTGCTACTGTCGACCTTCCATTTGGATACTTGTTTGAGGATGACCCCTCGGTTCACGCTGCATTTGTACGTGACCATGTGAACTGACCCTTATGTCCTCCGAAATCATTGGATACAACATTTTTTACGGCGGAGGGATTTCACATTGTGGCGTTATTGGAGGCAGCACATCTTAGGGTTTTGGCTGAGATGTTGTGTCCGTATTCAGAGCTGATGGTGCGGGCTTTCTACCATAACCTCAGCTACGTACAGGGTGAGTTGAGGTTGAGGGTCTGCGGGGTGGACATCATCATGACGGCTCCGATATGGTTGGAGACACTGGGCTATGACTTTGATTCTTCGCAGACTCTGGAGTATGACACAGATAGCGTGTAACACTTCCTGGATATTCCCGAGGTGATGCTGTGGAGGAGGCCAGGAGGCCTGATATAGGACGTGGGCGGAACATTCACTACACGATGGGGTTGCTTAGTGTAGAGGCCCGTATATTACACTATGTCATCACCCACATACTGTTTTCGCGAGCTTTCAATCATTCCAGGGTGCTGGAACATGACATTCCTATCATGTGGGCTATCCGACATGGTGTTATGGTGAACTGGAGGCACTATATTTGTTGGATGATGTTTAAGGCCAAACATAAGGGTGCATTTCCATTCGCCTGTCTGGTACATAGGATCTTGGTTCACTTTGGTGTTCTCATGGACAATGAGCAGTTGAAGAAGACCACGGGTTATAATTGCAAGTTCGGAAAGCGTCTACTGGAGCAGTGCAAGATCTCAAAGAACAGGGCGGGTGTGTGGCAGTTCACAGGTACGGTTAAGTTTGAGGTTCCTGATGTTGCCCCAGATGCACACATGGTTGAGCCCGAGGTGGAGGATGATGATGACGACGATGATGAGACTGACTTGCAAGATATAACTGAGCCTGAGGGTCGTCCGTATCAATCTTGAACACAGAACCCACATTAACCTGTGCCATGTATGTCAGCCAACCAGACAAGAATGCATATGATTTATCCTAGTCACCAAATAACTTCAAAATGGCCTTCATTTTATCCTTCCAAGCCTTCCTGTAAATTATGTTGTATCCATACAAACGCTGAACCCTTTCTTGAATAAGAACTGGTTTTAGAGATGGATCTTCTTTTAACATACCTATAAAGGAAAAAAAAGAATTCAAAGTCAACACTGTCAATAAAAAAAATTTCATTAAATAACATAAACATAACTTATGTAACCAAACATCGCGTAATACATACTCATAATGCTGCACAGATAACATCAGAATCCAGCTGTCTATGGTCCTTGGTAAGACCTTGGTTTAGGCAGGTGTGTTCTTTACCCCACTTACTAACCACCCAAGTATTTCCATTCTTCGACAACAATGCCCGCACGTACCAGGGACAACCATCATTATGGTGTCGACACTTTTTCACAAATCTATGCTCATCACTTTTTGCAACTACAGCAGTACGGTGAGCCTTCATACAATATAATTTGACTGCATGTTGCATTTCAGATTTACTACGAAACTCCTGGTACAAATATAATGGATCCCCTAAATGCCAGCCACCGTGGAAGTCATCATCGCCATACAATATCTCCGTCTCATCATTGGAACAGTGACCATTGTGCCACTGTTCACCAACTTTTTTACCTAAATGCCACGCGAACAGTGTTATTTCCCAATCTGCCACGAAGGCAAGTTCGCTTCTGACACAAGCGACCTCGGTTTGCTGACGTGTCAGCTTCCTGGTGGTGTCAGAGTTCGCTTCTGACACAGGCGACCTCGGTTCCAACAATATTTTAATCAAGTTCGCCTACATGGTAGGCGAACTTCATTTTTTTTGAATTTTTTTTTTTGAATTTAATACTTGTTATTCACTAAAAATGTGACACGTCAACAAACCGAGGTCGCTTGTGTCAGAAGCGAACTTGCCTCCGTGGCAGATTGGGAAATAACACTATTCGCGTGGCATTTAGGTAAAAAAGTTGGTGAACAGTGGCATTTTGGTCAGTATCCCCTCATCATTAGGGTGGGCCCAATTAATGAAGGAATAATGTGGGCTTTTGTTCCAAAATGGCTCAATCTCAGAACCTACGTCAAAATTTTAAACTTTTTCGTCAGTACCAATGATAACACAAATATGAAATGTTCATTTAAAACTTTAATTTACTATCTTACCACTGCTAACAGGGTCAACACGAAGTGGTGGCATAACCTGGGAACTCAGGTTTCCTGAGTTTGTGTCAGCGTCAAAATTCCCTTCTACGTCCGTATCTAAGGTGACACCTAGCAGAATAACACTCTTAGGTTCACCGTCCTCATCACTGCCCATATCCTCCTCGACGTCATCCTCGTCTATTTTCCTCAGTGTTATCTGACTTAAGACAGGTGCAGATAAACCGACAACTCTGTCTTCTTGACTCTGACTTCTTTCATGCATAGGTGCAGATAAAGATTGACCACAATCTATTTCAACATATATCTCAATAAAATTTTGAAATTTTCGGTCAACAATTGCATCTATGACACATTCCACATCTTCATCGTCACATATATCGTTACCAATGTAGAATATATCATCCTTACCAATTGTAGACTCTACCCTGGCGATCATTCGCTGAACGCATTGGCTGCCTTGTAGCCCCAATTTTTGTGAATTCTCCCATTTAGCTCATTGTATGTAGTGCTCCGTTTGATTTTCAACATTTTCGTTTTTCCTTCAAATTGAACACCATTGGGGCCTTCATAATACTTTCCATCATAGTAGATCATTGTAACATATATGTTTGGACTTGAGCTCGTCTTTCACACGAATTTGGGAGTAGGGTTCGAATTTTTGGGATTTGGGTTCGGATTTTGGGGGCAACAAATGAGAATATAAGTGGAATGACAATGATTTCACAATATTAAGGCTTTAGGGATGGTGGGATGAAATGTAATCGTGATTGGAAGGATCACAGATGACAAACAAGAGATAGAGTGGGTTACAAAACGAAAATATTTGAAATGACACCGAGAAAGGGCTGCATATAAGGTTTTCAGCGATATTTAATCGACTAAATAATCTTTTTAGTCGATTATATCTCCCCGAAATTTAATCGATCAAGATGGTTTTTTAGTCAATTAAATTTTGGGCTTCACATTTTCTGTATTTTGAAAATTTAGTCGACTAAACCTTCACCTTAATCGACTAAAGGGGGTAGGATGGTGGATAGTTCTGGGGGAGGGGAAAATTGGTTATTAATTAATTAATAACGGGCAAAAGGGTCAAAAAGCCAAGAAAAATGTATTACATTATTTTTTATGAAAAGAAAGAAAGATAAAGTCATAAACTTATATGGGAAAAGTTATATTTACCACCAATTAAGTTTAACACTTCTTACCACCAAATCTTAACTGTTGATCTCCATCAATCTAACGGTTATAATTTAGACAGAAATCCACGATTAATATTTGGTGGTAAGGAGTGATGAACTTAATTGGTGATAAATATAATCTTCCTCGGTTTATATTATAATTATTTTTTCTTATTTTAACTAACTCCAGATATCCTTTTTATTTTGTGAATTTGTAAATATAGGTAAGAGTTTATTCTTTATTTTGCTTTTCTGTGTTTCTTTACCATTACTTCTCCTTGATCCATTCTTTATGCTCATAACTCTTGAACACACAAAGATCAAATCTAACTCCTACAGTTCAATCATGAATGTGTCTCTCATTTGATTATTATTCAAGTTAAAGGTTTAATGTCTCTCATGTTGTAGGAGATAATTTTATCTCCTACACACATATAAAAGTATGTGGTGTCATGTTATTTTTTTCTCTCTTTTATCTTCACATGGTCCCACATAGACCCCACACACTTTTTTTTTGGGTGTGGCTGACCCCTCACACTTTTATATGTGTGTAGAGATAATTTTATCTCCTACATAT